AATCTGTGAGGAGCCTAATTGGCACACCTGCTTTCAGGCTGCTGTTGAGGAAACTTGCACCATGCCATTTACAGTGAGCTGCTACTCTAAAACCCTTTTTCTAAGCTTATGTTACTGTCTACATCTCAGGTCCTGAGATTTCAAAGTCTGTCTTTCCTCTGGTTTTGCTCCATTTTACAAAATGTTGTAAATGCCTGGCACTAGGTTTTGTCGTGTGTGTGTATGTACATATACTTGTGTAAAACTTTTGTAGCTAACAAAAGGAAGCTCAGTAGAAAAAGAAGACATTTTAGAAAGTACATTAAACAGTAAACATCTTGGGAAGGCTGTGAGGAGTTTCATGTATAACTTAAAATGCATATGTATTAAATAATTATTTAATCACTTTGGTTACTTCCATCTGTCCAGACTTCCATACTTCCATTTCCACAGCTGTAATTGATATTCTCCTGCCATGCAGGTAAACATGCACATAAGTAGATAATATAAATGTTGATTAATGAAAGGACCATGAATATTGTTTCTAAGGTAACCTTGCCTGCCTCTTGTCTTTCTTGATCATTGAACTTTCCCAAACCCTGCCCTTATGGTTTTTTTTTTCAATCATTATTTCCAGCAAAGAGAAAATAGTGGGTTCTTTTTGTTTTCACTTTATATGAATTATTAGAAATGAAAATTTCCTTTCCCAATGGAATTTTTTTTTCCCCCAAATAACTTAGCAATATTTTTTTGATGATGCTGAAACATGGCTTGTTTATTGTCCTGGAATGTTTACTTAGTATTTCATGTACTCTGGAGATAATAAGAATTTAATTTCTGGATTTTTTTTTTTTTCTGAGACTTACAAAAAGTGAATACTCCCCTTTCTGATTGAGAGTACCTAAAATGTGAATTCTTGCCCAATTTACTTCATGGTCATCTCTATGTAGATAAAATCTGGTTCTGTTCTCATGCTCCTCAGTGGTTGTTCCTCACAAAACTGTGCTGCTTTATTTTGGGGTGTTACATTCACAATTCCAGTTTTCTGGAGGACCTCAAGTTGTACCTCTGTGCTCAGGGAAGTTCTATGAATACTTTGAATGTTGATAACCAGGCTGTAGCTGGTAGTGTTATTGAGACACTACACTTAAAGCTGCCCAGAGGAGCTGTGGTCTCCCCATCCCTGGAAGTGTCCAAGGCCAGGTTGGATAGACCTCTGAGCAACCTGGTCCAGTGGAAAGTGTCCCTGAGCACGGCAGGGGGTCGGAACCAGATGACCTTTAAGATCCCTTCCAACCCAAACTATTCTGTGATTCTCTTGATTCCATGATTAAACATAAGGAGCAAGGAGGAGGGAAAGAAATGATCTGAAGAGGAAAATCATCCTACAGGATAAGTACCTGCAGATCTTGATTCATACAGGGATCTGGGTTTATGTATGAAACATCAATCTTTTCTCAGCCTCTCTGTCCCAATGTCCTCAGCTGCAGAATAAGGTTAATAATATTTACCAGCCAGTGATAGTGGATCACTAATCTGTCAGAATGCATGCAGTAAAGTATCATTTCTGTGTATTGAGGGGATATCAGCGATGCTTCAGGCACTCAAGACCTGATCCCTGTTTTCAGAGAGTGCTGGCAGAAACTACTTGGCATATTCCCAAGAGGGACAGCGTGACATCTTCACAGGGTGATAGAAATTTACGATTGGAGCAGCTTGCCCGGTTTTCCATCGCTGGTGCAGCAGGCGGGGTTGTTGGCGGCCGGGCCGGGTGCCGCTGTCCGCGGTGCTGGAGATCCCCAGCGCCGCAAGTTTGGCGCCCCGCCCGACCGTGCGCCCACTCGGGCACGTTTCCCGGAGCGCGGCCTCTGATTAAACTAACTCCTCCCTTCGGCTGCAGGAGCCCGTAGGAACGGGGGCCTTTTTCTCGCTCTTCATCTCTTCATCCG